GACTTCAGACTTCACAGAGGGGAAGAAACATCAAAGTGAAGAAAATCGAGATGGGGGGGGGGAACAAAAGAGTGTTTCAAAGGTGTAAAAGAGACAGACACAAAGGTAGAAAAAGGTGAGGTGAGTACTGTGAAAGTAGTCGAATATGACATATAGTGAGGTGATGGTAGTTTGAAGTCAGAAGTCAACTGCCGGTTAATAGACTTTCTTGCCGCATGAGTATACGTTGCCCAGGGTGCACCACGTGGAGGTAAGTCTATCACACACCCCCCCCCCTTCAATTGAATAATAATTTTACTAGACTAACAGTTTAGTCTTGACTCGCTGTCAAGAACGGAATATGATGCTAGAGATTATGTGTGAAATTCGAGACAGTCATTAGGAATCTAAATTCGCTTTTGTAACTAGCCATATCGTGCTATTTTTTCGACGCAGTATTAAAGATAAATAGTCTGAAATAGCCATGCCTGTCATGTTTGAGGATTCAATATGAATTGGCTTGCGATGTTCAAACCTCCTACATACTCAAGAGTACTACACACACACACACACACACACACACATATATATATATATATATATATATATATTTTCTAAAGTCAAAAATTGTGTTCTCCTAATCAAGTTCAAGAGATAATTTGTTTGAACGAGCTACAATAGTCTCCGGTAGCGAGTTCGAATCAGTTGCCAAGTTGTTCGGTATACGCTGTTGGAAGGTAGTTCGATAAACAGGCGCAAAGTTTTGGCAAGGCATACACCGTTTACAAATTAACGTCCTAAACTTATCATTTTGAAATCTTCATACATCATATTTAATGCAATGATAAATTTTGTTTAGTTTCTTATTATTGCTTCAATACTTTTGCATGCGATTTTCATATTAGATGATGGAAAAAGAGTGGCAAATAGGGTGTTTCATAAAAGTGCTGTAATTCGGTGACATACTCACATTAGCCTTCGTGAAATATGTCGATATTTTCGAATTATGCAACACTCCTAATTAAAATATGCTATATCCAAGTGGAATTAATTGATTAACTGGAATTGGCAGCCGAGGTTAACTGAATGCCTGTAATGCAAACCTACCAATTGTTTCGGAAAAAGTGTGAATAAGCGTTCAACATATTGCGTCACTGCAAATTGCAGGGTTTGACTAATCATCGTTTGTTTACCTAAGGACACAGTCTACTGATTGGCCTAGTGCATGCGGACAGCTAGTGTCCAACAGTTCAGCAGTGTTCGAACCAGTCTCGTAATCATTTAGAACTTCACCATCAGTTAAACACCTACAGATGAAGGGTTCTATCAATATTACCTTGATTGGAGTATTATTAACTGTATCAGCTTATTTTCATAGCGTTTTTGGTGACGTTGAAAGCCAATTCGATTTGAATGCGGGTATGCATTTATTGTCATTATTTTTTCATTTAGTGATTGGATTGACTATTATGAAAAGTATATGATATGGCATTGATTTTAATGAAATTAGTGATAAATACCTTCAAGTTATCATGTTTAAGATAGTTCTTCATTACAAAATTCGATCTAAGTTATCTACTTGGTAATCATTAGAACGGGACTAATTTCAAACACCGGTTATCTGTCAAGCAAGCAAAAACCACTGATCTTATTTATTTTATTTGTATCATATGGCAGGCGTTTTGATGGTTAACATTAGCCCTTTAGTTGACTTCAGGCTTCACAGAGGAGGAGGAAAATCAAAGTGAAACAAGTCGAGAGGGAGAGGGGGAACAGAAGAGAGTTTCAAAGATGTAAAAGAGACAGACACAAAAGTGGAGAAAGGTTAGGTGAGTACTGTAAAAGTAGTCGAATATGACATACAATGGGGTGAGGGTAGTTTAAACAGACACAAAGGTAGAACAAAGGTGAGGTGAGTACTGTGTTACACGAAGGTAGAGAAAAAGGTAAGATGAGTACTGTGGAGGCTTAGAAAAGGTAGGAAAAAGGTGAGGTGAGTACTGTGGAAGATACAAATGTAGAAAAAAGGTGAGGTGAGTACTATGGAAGTATACAGACTCAGAGGTAGAAAAAAGGTGAGGTGAGTACTGTGGAAGTAGACTAATATGCCATACAGTGGGTCATGGTAGCTAGAGTCAACTGAAGGTAGAAAAAAGGCGAGGTGAGTACTGTGGAAGTGGTGAAATATGACATACAGTGGGGTGATGGTAGTTTGAAGTCAGAGGTATATGACATACAGTGGGGTGATGGTAGTTTGAAGTGAGAAATAGGTAGAAAAAAGGTGAGGTTAGTACTGTGGAAGAAGTCGACAGTAGAGCAAAGGTGAGGTGAGTACTGTGGAAGGGGTCGAATTTGACATACAGTGGGGTGATGGTAGTTTGAAGTGAGAAGTCGAAGAGAAAAGGTAAGATGAGTACTGTTGAAGTGGTCGAATTTACGAATATGGCATAGAGTGGGATGATGGTAGTTTGAAGTCAAGTAGTCGAATTTGACATACAGTGGGGTGATTGTAGTTTGAAGTCATGTCAAATGCCGGTTAATAGACTTTTTTGCCGTATGAGAATGTAGGACATATAGGGGGGTCATGGTAGTTTGAAGTGAGAAGAAAACTGCCGGTTAATAGACTTTTTTGCCGTATGCGGAGAAGTCAACTACCAGTTAATAGACTTTGCCGTATGAATATACGTTGCCCAGGGTGCACCACGTGGAGGTAAGTCTATTGAAAAACGAATGCCGAGTGATAGAATTTTTGCCGTAAGAAAGTACGTTGCCCAGGGTGCACCACGTGGAGGTAAGTCTATCGTAGTTAACTGCCAGTTAATAGACTTTTTGCCGTATGAATATAACGAAAGCCGAGTGATAGACTTTTTTGCCGTAAGAAAATACGCTGCCCAGGGTGCACCACGTGGAGGTAAGTCTATCGCACACAAACTTCCGGTTAATAGACTTTTTACCGTATGAGTATACGTTTCCCAGGGTGCACCACGTGGAGGTAAGTCTATCGCACACCCACCAGGGTGCACCACGTGGAGGTAAGTCTATCGCACACCCCTCACTAATCTTTTATTTAAATGTCTTTCAACACATTCTTTCCGATTGACATGTACTTACATACTGTTACAACCTCTAGAAATTTGTGCCTCAAAAAGAACTTTGATTGGAAGTTGAAATTTTTTCTTAGACTTAGGAAACATTCGCCTTAATTTGATTCTTTAATCGCCCTTATTTAAAGTTTGAGAAATTTCCTTTGTAGTTAAATCTTTATCAGCCAGATTTTAGTATTTTGTTCTTCTTTGAAAAGGTTTGTTTTTCTTGATAAGATGGGTTTAGAATATCCTAGTAAAATCAACAAATATGTAACGGCATTATGATAATAGCCACAATTCGGTGACTTAAAATGGTGCGTTAACATCTTGACTTATTGAATTTACAATAATCCCTATAGAATCGTAATTAACTTATAATCCGTGATGTTGTTTACTTTGACTTCTTAAACAGTTTTTTTGTTAAAATAAAGAAAGTTTTGGTTCTTAACAAGGAACTGAATAATTTTCTTTAAAGGACATCTGTAGAACTTGGTCTATTCTTCTTCATTTCTCGTCTGATCTTCTGCTAGGAACTCTGGGTATCCCCTTGGATGCCACAATTTAACTTCCTCTGCAAACGTTTGTAGAATTTGCTCCGTGTGTGCGCCATCCGGGCCAAAAGCTCCTGAGTATTCTACCAGGCAGCGGTTGGGACAATATTGTGAATGAGGAGAGGGGACCAACAACAAATCGAGGCAACTACGCACTCTGTCGATCCTCTCCCGATGACAACTATATCATCCCCGATGACGTCATTATTGGTGAGTTTTAATTTGGGAATCAATTTCAGTACGCATTGCGTTAGTTCATCTCCCACATTGATCATTTAGCCTAGTAGGTTCAGGTAATTTTTTCTGAACCGATTATCATCTGCATAGATGAAGAAGAGGACAGTTTCGTCGTGGATAGAGAGAGAGAGAGCTTCACAGAACCTCCTTGTGGAGAAACTCTACTTCTTTTGCCCATCATACTGCCTACTATTAATTATTACCCACTGGATGAGCGTAGGAGTCGTAAACTTTGACCTTGCAAACAAGGGCATTATTTTTACCTATTTCTCACTTTCTTTTAGCTGAAATTCACCTTAGACTCTTTTTATATATCGGCTAGAATAAGTGTGTTCGCAGAGCCATATTAGGGCTAGCGTGTGCATTCCTCAATTGATGAAACTTACCCAGAGTTTATTCATTGCTTTCTTTCATCAGCTCCCAGGTAAAAATTTCAGTTTAATTCCTCAAAGCAACTCCTAGCATAAGGATAAATCAGCATTTTCTTCAAAGTACCGAAATGGAGACTGGCATGCAGTCTTCCAACTACCTGTATTTTCCCATTGAGGCAACAAAATTCGAGTGCTTAATTAAATTTGAGTTAGAAGCTTTCCACTTATAAAGGCACAATTCTGTTGGTTTATTTGTTTCGTAAATTTAACGGACGATAAAAATCTTAAAGAACAAGTTAAAGTGTGTCTTGACGATTGTACGAAGAGATTTTGGCGGTCGGTAGTTTACTGGGTCACAAATTATCATCTGGAAACCGCGAATACAAGAGTTGGGCAGTAAGTGTCGAAGAGAAGGGTTTTACGGTCAATGGATAATTAATTGGGTGTATGGAAAGGAGGCTTGTTTCATGCTTTCATGTCATTTAATGACATTGTTGCACAATTTGGTTCCCTTTGAGGATAGGTAATTACTATTGTTACCGAGTGTGTATTCCGTGATTCATCACTATGATTTCCGTGTGAGCTCGTGTCCAAATAAGTTGGTCGGTCGGCCTTGCCATTCAAATGTGTTTCATAGTAGTTCGATTAAGAAGATCTTAAGGTGCCTCGATAATAAATCGGCCCACTATCTTAAATCGCTTAATTATTTTCTATTTTTTTGTTTCACTTTCAATTAAGAACCTTTGAAGAGTTCTCATATTGAACTCTCATCTCAGGCATTCTCCCACTTTACAAATTACACATCATTGACGGCTCTGTCTGTAAATATTGGAGGGGATGTAGGCTTCTATCAGATTTCAATCGGAGGTGACTTCTCTTTCGAAAAGGAAATGGTCAGGAAGGCTGAGGTGAGCGAGCATCTTCATTTTGTTTTAAAAGATGTTTACATTATTGGTTAATCAACTGCATTTCTTGCTTTTAAAATAACTTTTACCTAAATTTAACAAATACTCCAGGGGAAGGATATGTAATGTTTTTTTCAGAATATAAACAAGGGGTTAACTATGCGATCACAGCTACGACATCGTTGGTTTGGAGTTCACCAATTACCAGACTCCCAACTCCACCCCAGATTCCGAAATCGTCTGTTAGATATTGCAGCCCACTTAGAGAGAAGTAATATGTCTGATTCAGGTGGGGATTTCGCTATGAATATCATTTCTCAGAAAGGCCGAACTATATCGAATTTCGGAAGAGAGGACATGTTCAAGATGATGGAAAGCTTAAGGGCTTCGTATTTGGCTGATCTAATTGTGAGGTAGATCAAATGTTTACATTTTAAGCATGGCTTTAATGTTATTCCTGTTTTATATATAGAATTGACAATATTCCATTTTTAATTCTATAGAGACTTTGGAACTCATTCCATCATTGCTGTAGAAGCCGGTGGAGTGGTGGCAAAAGTCGACAGTCTCGTTGCCAGCACAAGAACGATGTTTGATTCCGAGAGAACAAAGCTGGAATATGGGGCGAGAGCATCATTTTTCGATTTCTTTAAAATTAACAATTCGGCTAACTTTATTCAAGGCACGACTAACGTAAGTACATTGTCGATAACTTAAGTGAATTCGCAGTTTGTCGATCCAGCTCCATCTGAAAATTTCTAATCATTTAGACGGCTGAGTATGATTCCAACGTGGCTTCAAGTTTTATTCTGAGTTATGGTGGACCGAGTCTAAAAGCTAGTGATATGAATTTGACAATTTGGGAGAATGGTGTTGTAGAGAATCTTGTGGCCATTGATCGGCGTGGTAGACCTATTTATGACCTCATAACACCACGGGCGTTACCAGAATTGAGTGAATCTCTAACGTTTGCTCTTGCTGCAACTGTGAAATCAGCTGTGATGCGATACTATGAAGCCAACTCAATAGTTGGTAAGTTTTTTGACTGAACTTTATGCCTGCCAAACTCTTTTGAGCATGCCACTTTCTAATCCTCCAATAAATAATCCACTGCTTGAATCTTGGTCTCTACCTTAGATTATTTCGAGAAATTGTAGGTGTCATATAAAAGTGGGCAATTTTTAGTCAATAAAATTAGATTAACAAGCAATTGCTAATGCATAAACTTAGTATATAAGTTGGAGTAAAGGCAATTGTGGTTATCTGGATATCTAATAAGTTCATATCAGCGAATAGACTTGGTGCATGGGATTGCGCATATTTTACTACCACCTTGTCAAATTTAAAAGATTTTGTGATATCGCAACTCCATAGCCATCAAATCTAGAGATAGAGAAGAGGGTAGCGATTCTGATTCTTTGCGTTTCAAACACCTAGGTCAACTATAAGACTTAAAGCAGCCTGACATATGACACTTAAAGTCCTTATTAATTAAAACGATGACGTGACAGCATTGCCCCCTCTAAAGCAAATGCCCTCATATTTTTCCTATCTCAGCACTATCAATTTCACTCAGATCACCTATGGTGAAGCAGATGAAATATTTTTTGAGGTCTAAATGATTGCCAGTTATAAACCAAAAATTCCTTTGGCCTCTAGATTGGCTAGTCTCGGAGATGCTTTCGTTTTGTTTCTTCTTTCGAGTTATTAGTGCTAGATGACAGTATAGTCCTCTTTCAAAATAGCCACCATTGGTACTCGACTAGTAATAGAATGCGCGCTTTTCCCATTTGAAACATGCTCAATGCGTGTCTACAGCCTTCGCCTGATACCACCAAAACTCATCACGTCGGCGTCATCAGTCTGCTGTGAGACACGCGTGTGTGCATCTGGGTCTATTTATCTAAAAATAATTCGGACGTTTAAGGGTTAGGCTAGGAGAGGTGCGAAGTCTTCTGTCATGTCTAATTGGATTGTTTAATGACTTGAACTTTACTCATTAAAATATCGGCTTTTTTGCATAAAAGAGAATTAGAAACCCATTCTCTACTTAGTTATTCCACGAAATGAATCTCACTGTTTGCTGTTACTCACCATAGCCAATTGTTAAATATAGTCTCAAATTTGTCCGAAAAATAATAAAATGACTCATATTTGCTGATTAAGCACAATCCTAACACTTAAATTTGAGCAAAATTTCTCTATGGGGGGTATTTAAGTGGGTGAAATCAGTCAGATCCAGATATATAGGAGTTCGATAAGAATTCATTCGTCAATCACACTGTTTATAGATTTTTTTCTCTATTATGTTTATAAACAAATGCTATGGCCCGTGTTGTGCACCCTACTTAGGAGTGAAAGTGTACCCTGAAATTTATGTGTGAAAGTCTACCATGTACAATTCAAATTGTGACAAATTAAACCAAATTTGGAATGGTTTGAAATGGCTTTGTTTCGGTATTTCCATGAACTTTAATCGGCCCTGATTATAACAGCAGTTTCGTGTTCTAAATAAGCTTTTAACTTCATACACATGTTTAAAACGCAGTTCTTTCAGTAACTCGACTATTTTACATGAAAGTTTAAGAATAGTCATTTGTAGAATACGATAAGATGCTACACATCGGCTCAATCCCTGTCTATTAATGTTCTCCATACGGAATGCCCCTTCTAATTGAAATCTCCAGCATTTTGATAGAGTGAAAAATATGTTCAATCTATACGTAATTATATGTTCAACAAAGTTGATGAGAACTATAAAAGTTGTCATACGAAGTTAAACAATCGCATTTAACAGGCATAATTAAGCTGCATTCGAAGTCTTGATCAATATTCAATACCGCAATAGTAAACGAGCATCGCGGCTATGAGAGATTCACAAAAGCACCTTCCATTGATGTGATTGGTTGACAGCACTGGCTGGTTCGGGTTAATGAAAGAGCAAGCAAAAATTCAAATTTCTCATTAGAGTGGTTCCAGGATGTTTCTCTCCACTTAGATCACTTAATGACCTAGAGAAGCGAGAGCTTTCTTTAAAATTATCCTTAAATTTAAATTTAACCTTACATTAGGCGTTTTCATACTTTTTTCTCAGGAGAAGCTTATTATGAATTAATTACTTAACTAGTTCAATTTTGATAACAGCCAGTTATCTATTGTTTGGCTGATGTTTATAACAGTGCGTCTACGTAATAGACAAAAAATTAGCTGTCTATAAAAAAGCATTTCAGACACATTTGTGCTAATATAAACAATTGTCACTCCGACATATCACTGTCAAGACATCACAATAGACCAAACGGATCATATTTTGAAGTCTCTTTTATTCGAGCACTTTTGTTTGTTTTGTTGCCAGGATGTCTGAATCCATTTTCATCTGCTTACGATAGCGATGCAAATATTGCGTCCGATCGATGCGATGATATGGACTTTCAGGATCCCACTGCTAACAGTGAATCCGGCCAAACCCCATTCGGAGGACTCTATACCACATGTGAGGGACCTGATGACCTCTGCTCTCGCTATTTGTCTCCAAATCTGGCTACTGGAAAAACCTCCTGTCCTGAAGGCTATAAGGCTGTAAATCTACTACCGCCACAAGTAAGTAGATTGCTTTACTGAATTAACTTTCGATTAGCCCCCTGGTAACCGTATTATTCTAGGTACGCTCCTGTGCAATGAAATGCGATACTGTTGGAATCTTTCACAAGCCAGTCTGTGTTCACGAATGCGCCGTTACTCGAGCATATTGGTGTGCCATCGATACAAACTATACCTCAACTTCTCCTCAAAAGCCAAACACTACTATGGAGATAGGTATGTTAAACCGATATGGCCCTGAAACATTCGAAGAAGTTCGTTGCCTTGACGAGGTCAATTCTTTGGCATTTGTTGTCATGGGCAAACATTTGAATTATGGAAGCACGAATATGCAATAACGAAGGAGGGGGGGAGGGGGGAACTAAATTGAAAATAAAATTAGGCTATCTAAAAGTCCTACTGCACTTGATTTTCGGACAACTATTAAGAATGGTCTCCTGAATCTCCTAGTGAACACTAATCAAAGTCATTCATATGTAACTGGCCAGTCTAATTTAGGTGGTCAGGCAAAATATTTCTTAACATCTTCCTTCCACAGGTGGGATACGGATAGCACTTCTTACTGCTAATAAGGATGTTATGAACCTTAATCTGAATATTAGCTGCTGATAGATGATCAGACAATGAGTACTCAATAAAGGATACCTTCGATTTAGTCAACCCCAGCTGTTGACCTTATTAAATATGCTAACTATGGAAGTTAACCGAACAAAACTCTGTGAAGGCCTTTAAATAAAATTCAAAAATAAGTTTAGTGGAATTTCAGTTTTAGTTTGAGCTTATAAGATCAACATGTTCTTGAATCGAAAGTCCATGCAGTGAATTCCTTTCCTATTCAGTCCCTGAGTAACTACTACGAATAATTTCAAACGTTTTAGGTTTTCTTTTCGGTGGTATCTACACGGATACATCGGTAAATCCCATCACAAATGCTCAATCCTGCCCCCTCTACTACGTGAGCCAGCTGATAGGTCGGCGAATTCAGGTGTGTGTGTCCACGGATAGAGAGTTTGGACGCAGGTATTCAATGGCGTTTGGAGGTTTCTACGCATGTCAATCGGGTAATCCACTCTACGATGTTCTCTCACTCAACACGTCTTCTCAAAATATAAGGCGATGGGTGAAGAGAGGCCAAAGAAATGGACTTGAAGAAGGCTTATTGGAAGATGACTACGCTTTGATTTGGCCAAAACAATGTCCGAATGGATACACGTCTCACGCCGCTGGAATTGAGGACACATGCCTGGTGCGTTAGTGGCCTGATAGTAATGAGTGTATTAAAATTTATTTGAATGAAATCATTTCTTTACATTTGATAGTACGTCAACTATATATGGAGTGTCCTTTTGATTGTATGCAAGCCAAGCCTTTTAGTATTCTGCGTGTAATGTTTTGATCTTGGAAAAGTTGTTCTCTTCAGAAAAGAATTAGATTATTCGTGCTGAAGCAGGAAGTAACACTTTCCTCGAAAGTATCTTCGCCTTAGAAGTCGATCTCTTGGTTTGTGGTAGAGAAGGCCTTCAGTGAGCGCAAACTTCTCGGTGGAGATTGAAACATTTAATGAACTTTGCGAAAGCTCCAAATTCCGATGTTAGGGTACTCCAACAGTTTTTATGAACGTTGAGCGACAAATTGAATCTTATTATTTTGATGGCTGGAACAAATCATTACGGTACATAATATTCTCTTTCCCGATTCATGTGAGTCCCAGCAGTAATTCTTCCCCATTGTCGATATTTAAAAAAAATAATTGTGAGCAGTCTTGGTCAAGCTCTTCTTTAAACACAATGGAACGTACAGAAATGTTATAGAAGAGTCCAATTCATGTCTAGCATTAACCTTAGCAACGAAAATACTACTCACAAAAGTATGGACGCAACCTGGAAGGGAAAGTGATTACTAAACATTAAATTTGTCCATTAATTTACCTACGTGGAGTATGAATCCCAACTTTGGGATACCCAAAAACGCTGAATATTTATTTATATCAAATGGCAGGCGTTTTTATGGTTATCATTAGCCCTTTAGTTGACATCGGACTTCACAGAGGGGAAGGAACATCAAAGTGAAAAAATTTCGAGAGGGGGGGGGGACAGAAGAGTTTTTCAAAGAAGAAGGTAGAAAAAAGGTGGGTGAATGTTGTGGAAATATACAGACTCAGAGGTAGAAAAAAGGTGAGGTGAGTACTGTGGAAGTAGACTAATATGCCATACAGTGGGTCATGGTAGCTAGAGTCAACTGAAGGTAGAAAAAAGGCGAGGTGAGTACTGTGGAAGTGGTGAAATATGACATACAGTGGGGTGATGGTAGTTTGAAGTCAGAGGTATATGACATACAGTGGGGTGATGGTAGTTTGAAGTGAGAAATAGGTAGAAAAAAGGTGAGGTTAGTACTGTGGAAGAAGTCGACAGTAGAGCAAAGGTGAGGTGAGTACTGTGGAAGGGGTCGAATTTGACATACAGTGGGGTGATGGTAGTTTGAAGTGAGAAGTCGAAGAGAAAAGGTAAGATGAGTACTGTTGAAGTGGTCGAATTTAAGAAAAAAGGTGAGGTGAGTACTGTGAAATGGTCGAATATGGACAAAGGTGGGTGAATGTTGTGGAAATATTCGAATATGACATACAGTGGGGTGATGGTAGTTTGAAGTCAGAAGTCAACTCCCGAACAATAGACTTTTTTGCCGTATGATTATACGTTGCCCAGGACCCACCACGTGGAGGTAAGTCTATCGCACATCCCGAAAAGCTGAATATAGGTCTGTTCTATCTCTCTTTGTGTCTTATGTCTATTAGCTCATTAATCTGCTCAGTCAATTAACGTTATCTCGTAAAATAGAACTTCAATGACTAGAACTGTGAACTTCAAGCGCTAGTATCAAAGAATACCAGCATCAAATTAGACACATCTAATTTATTATCAATGGTATTTATTTATCGTCTTCATTTGTGTTTAAAACAATGTGCGGCTAACGTGTGTGTACCTTTCTTTTGTCAATGCTTTCCGAATTTTTGATGTGGCTCAATTCCACCAAACGTATCCTGTATTTGCTACACTTTGCTTGATGTGATTGGTGGTTCATATGCTTTTTGTGGGCGAACGAATGAGTCACACCTTTATTCGGCTGAGTTTTTGAAGTCGAGGCTTTCAATAATAATAATAATAATAATAATAAAAGTTATTTTGCTTATCCTCTGAATAATAACATTAGTCGTAAAGGTCACCGCTTTTGAGTTGATTGGTGACGGGTTGAAATGCCTCTGTGCTCAAGGCCACACTTGCTGCCTACGCGACATATAGCACGGTCACAACTTCGAGTCTGTCTATGTGCGTATTAAATTTTTTGTTCATCTGTGATAGCATTGTGTACTTGACAAGGTCAACGCTTTTGAGGTGATTTCAAGGTCCCCACTTTACACTCTTAATACCAAAATCTTGCTGATGATATATGTGGATATTTTTTTACCCTGTTAGGCAGAAAATTTGTTCTCAGTAGTTCTCTATTCTGATCCATTTTGTGATATTCTAATTTATCTTTAGGTCAACTACTGTGTCCCTGGTAATTCGCTCAAAGTTGTGAAAGATCGGAGGGTCAAACGTCCTCCATTCATTCAATTGGTAAGTTCAAGACTTTTTTGGAACAACAATGGAATTTGGATTCAGTTGAATGCATAGAACTCTACATAATTTCAAATTAAATGTTAAGAATCACAATATTATACACAGGCATTTATTTACAGGATTAGGCATGATTTTTTCCGGCGAACTCAGATAACTGAATTTCCAGAATTAAGCCTTCTCCGTAGAAAGTAGTTTTCTATTAACTTCATTCTTAATGATGACTATAGAATTATAAAAATATGTTTCTGTTGCAAATTTCAATATTTTTTCCCTTGCATATATTTATGCAGCGATTTTTGTTTTGAGTTTATATCTAACAGAATTTATTTCACGTCACATGGGTATACTTTACTATAACGGAAAGCTTTCTTTAAATCTGCTAGTTGAATCGTGGGAAAACGTAAATATTATCGATTTTCTATGCTATACTAATCGTTATGCTATGCCTAAGTATGTGAATAAATGGCATAATTCGTTAAACGGATCGATAAAAATATTACTAAGAATATCTACCAATGCTGTGCACAAAGGCATAATGTGGATTTATACATTTCATCGGGATAATTGATTAGGTAAGCAAAGGGTTTCATAAGCAGTTCAAGTACCCAGTTAATATTAAATATTTTCACTAAACATACGCTGAAAAGAACCACGTGAATATTAATTTTTCAATTGATCATATTATCCTAATTCATAATGCCGTTTTCATACTAAAGCCGGAATTTTCCGCGTTCGACTTGAAATCAGACGTGCAGAAGGCTCTGAATGAACCCCTACACCTGGTGGACACATTCACAGGTCGATCCTATCACAACGAAGATGGCAACTGGGTGGAAGATATTGAAGACACTAGTATTATGGGCCCGAAAGCAATGACAGTCTTTGCAATATTTGGAATCATCTTCGTTGTTTGCGTTGGAGTTCTTCTAGTCATTGGTGCAGCTCTGCTCGTTGTTAAAATCAGAAAGATACGCAGAACAAATACGCCATAAGGTCAATACTACTGATATACTACTTTTCACATCTCTTATTTGTTGAAATGACGAATTTGTTGCCAATAATTGAAATTACGATTAATGTGCTGCACTGTTTCTGTAGTAGTTATTGTAGGGTTCCCCAAATGATTTAACTTAAACGGACTGATGTTCAAAATCAAGTTTTTTTAATTAGGTGAGTACTTGGTTTTCCTCTAGGTTTTGGTCATAAAGAGCTTTATTGTAGACAATGTGAGAAGACATTCAGCCATACGACTTCTTATTTAAAGTGAATCCCGTGGGTAGAAGTTGCCTAAATGCGAACAGCTCATCTGGCAAAGGTGGCTCGATTTCTGTCCGTACGTACCCATTGGTATGAATGAGTTCTCTTACTGAATAACGTATCCCAACAAATATATATATATATATATATATATATATATATATATATATATATATA